TGGGGCGGGGAGGCTGCCAGCCAGATGAGCGCAGAGAATCCCGCTTTGTCCTGACCGATAAATTGGTTTTGTCAGGAGCTCCAAGTGTAAGTGAGCAACTGGATCTCCAGGCTCTTCCCGGGCATTTCACTTTTTTTTTTTTTACGGGGGGGGAAGGGGAGGAGCAGCCATGAGGTGGGCTGAACCCGAGGAAGAGCTATGTCCCCTCCTCTCCTATCACGGGCTGCCTCCTCCCAACACGGGCTCCAAAGGGACCCAGGGATACTGGGCCTGGCTAAAGACTGTTGTTATGACCTGTCGAGAGGATTCCAACTCAGCAACCCTAAGTGCCAGAGTAGAACTGCCCCATAGGGTTTCCAAGGCTGAAATCTTCACAGAAGCAGACTGCCACGTCTTTTTCCTGAGGAGCAGCTGGTGGGTTCGAACTTTTGACCTTTTGGTTGGCAGCTGAGCGCTCTAACCACTGCACCACCGGGCTCCTTTTGGCTGAAGATTAGAGGACAGGAAAGAACCCCCAAATCTAACCTTAGGACTGGGCCAGTGGGGGCGTGTCTTGTGGGAGCCCCGCCTCCTGTCTTGGCTTCTAAACGGAGGGGTAAGAGAGTTGGGGCCCCTGGAGCCTGAAGGCTGGCAGGTGCCGGGGGATGGCCAGGCCTACCTTTGCTCCTCCTCCAGCTCCTCTTTGGTCATCATCTGCTTGTACTGGTTCCCCCGCAGCTTCCCGGGGCTGTATTTGAAGGAGAAGGTCTCCTCTCCTGCAGAAAGGAAGGCCCCGTTAGAGCAAAGCGGAGCTGTGGATTCGACCCGCCTGCAAATTTCCAGTCCCCTGCCCCTGGGGGAACTGCAAGAGGAGCACCTGGTAGGTCAGAGAGCACCCGTTCAAGGAGAGGGCCAGTCCCCACACAGGTCCCCCGGTCTCAGAGCGGCCATTTTCTTCTCGGTCCATCACACACATGACAGGCCCTCCTCCATGCAATCCTCTAGCTACTTACATCGGGAGCCCATCAACGAAATGAGAGAGCCAGAGAGGAACCAGTCCATGTCCCCGTTCAGCCCACCACCTGCCGAATGACGCCCCACCCAAAGCCGCAGTTGAGGCCACAGGGATGTCTGCCTGCCCATCCTGGCACACCATGCGTCCGAGCTAATTCAACAGCGGCCGCCAGACAGGCGGACAGAGGCTTATCTGTGGAAGCAGGTGGCCAGGCGCTGGTTCTCCACCTCTCCTGGAGTCCCAGGTTCAAGGGGTGGCCTGCCAGCGTGGATCCAGCAGACGGGCCACGCACCCGCTCAGCCCCTCCACCTCCTGGGCTTGGGCAGGTGTGCCCAGCAGTCCAGAAATCCCGGATCCTACTCGCCTGATGCCAGAGGTGTAATGTCAGCCAGGCTCTGACCCCTCCACTCCACACACATACACACACACATACATACACATACACACACCACACACACACATCACACATACATACACATACACACACCACACACACATCACACATATACACACACAGCACACACACATATAGATATTAGAAATTGGAAAAAACAAAAATAAAAACCCGGTCCACAGCAGAGAGCGGGAGCCATACGGGGTTTTGGTCGGTTTGAAGTCAGTCATCACATCTGGCTGGTGTTAGCAAAGAGGCTGCCCTGGGTCTGCCGGTCCCTGAAGCCGGCCCACAGCCGCCTCCAACACACAACAGAATGGGGGCTGAGGGGGGCACACTGGAGCTGGGACAGGAAGGCAGGGGTGCGACAGGCTGAGCAGGGCTCACAGGACAAAGGTTAGGGGGGCGGAACTGAGAAGAGCCTCTAAAGCATTTGGTGTAAGCTGATGGGAGAGAATTCTCCGACCATGGAAGCAGTGCCCTCCCGTGAGGCTTCTGGCTGGCCCTGGGGACCGAGGGTGGACTGTTGGTCTCGCCTGACTTTCACTAACGTCGCAGAACCCAGAGAGCCAAGCAGGAGAGCAGCAAACCCCCGACCCCACGGATGCTGTTCTAGAAGCGTTTGCCTCTCTATCAGGCCAGTGGTCAGGGGTCTCAACCACCTCCATGCCCTGTCAGACTGCAGGAAAAGCCAGGCCACCTCTCAAGGCCATCACAGAGGCAGGTGGGCCCCAGGGTTCCCTCTGGGCCGAGCGGAAGTAAGCTCTGCCTGTAAATTTGTGACCTAAACATTGCATTGTGGGTGTTTTTTTTCCCACTCATCAGAACCTTGCTTAGAAGAAGCCTGGCCTGCTTCCCCACCCTACACTCTTCTGCGGCTCCCTCCCTGGGGCTAGACCGCAGGTACTACCTTTGTAAAACCAAAAAACCCAACCCATTCGTTGCCTTCCAGTCGACTGCAACTCATAGCGACCCTATAGGACACAACAGAATTGCTCCATAGGGTTTCCAAGGCTGAAATCTTTACAGAAGCAGACTGCCACATCTTTCTTCCATAGGGCAGCTGGTGGGTTCGAACCGCCTACCTTTTCGTTAGTGGCCGAGTGCTTAACCACTGTGCCACCAGGACTTCTACCACCTGTATAAGGACTAATTTGCTGTTCATCCACTCAACAAATATTTCTGGAGGGCTGTTCCAGGTGCTGGGGCTGCAGCAGTGAGGAAAACTTCAGTAAGTAAGCAGGAAGTTACAGCCTGCCAGCTGTCTGCGAGCTGCAGGCAGAGAGGGACAGCAGAGAGAGGAGGGCGGGAGGGGCAGCGTGGAAGTTAAAATGGGGTACGTGTGGGGATGCTTCGCAGAAGGTGGGGCTGCGGTGCCTGGCGGGGGAGGGGTGTCAGATCCAAGCGAAGGGCCGGGGGAGCCTGCCTGGAGGGTGTGAGGACCAGCCAGGGGCCAGTGAGATTGGGGCGGAGGGACCCAGGGGACAGAGGGTATTGCACCAGAGAGGGCAGGTGGGGTTGGGTACGGGCCAGCAGACACGGTGAGGCTCTTCCTCACCCCCAGATGAGAACCCTGGGGGCCTGGGGCATGGACAGGGTTCGTCCCTCCCTTGCCTTCACTGGGAACCCCAGTTCCCATCAGCTGGCTCTTTCCTGCAGACCTAGCTGTGCGCAAAGGCTCCGAAAGCACCATTCCTTCCGGGGCGTGGGACCAGGAGCCTCTCCCAGAACAGGGTTGGGACAGGGGCTCTGGACGTGTTCTGAGTACGCAGGCCGCTGTTCAGAGCTGTGTCTGCACCCTGGGGGCTGTGGTTATGGGGGAGCCCTGGTGTCTGAACTACACGGAGCGGCCTTCTCAGGACAAGCTCAACCTCAGAGAGGCAGCCAGCACAAAAAACCAATTAACCTCCCGGGAAGGCATGTCACTGTTTGAGAAAAAAAAAAATCAAAAAATCTGCCAGCTCAGGTGATAGGGAACCCAAAGTTGAGTAAGGATAGTGTTGATGTGTTGTGAGGTTGTTAACCATTGTCATAGGGCAACATGTGTACTAACTGTTTAATGAGAAACTATTTTGTTCTGTAAGCCTTCATCTAAAGTGAGAATAGCAGCACAATTGGAAGAGCGTAGTCGATGTCACTGAACTGTGTGTGTTGGAATTTTTGAAATGGTGTATCTTTGGCTATGTATATTTTCACCAAAAAAAAAAAAAAAAAAAAAAGGTTGAGAAGGGAGAGGGTTGACATGTCGTGGGGTTGTTAACCAATGTCACCGAACAATATGTGTACTACTGTTCCATGAGAAACTATTTGTTCTGTAAACCTTCACTTGAAGTACAATTAAAAAAAAAAAATCTGCCAGCTCAGTCCCGCTCTAGGTTTCAATCTCCAGGGCAGGCCTGATGCCTTTGTTTTCTGAGCCAGCTATGATGCATGACTTGTAAAGGCTTTCACTTCATCGAACATGGTGCTCCAATGATACACAGAGGAATCCAATCCTGCCAGACCTCGAGAGTTCCGTGTGAGAGCCCCTCGGAGCAGGCGGGGGCGAGGGGGTTCCTCTTCCGGTTTCTGTGAATCCATGCTGCCGCTCAGGGAAGTCAGCTCGGAGACACTAATCAATTAGCCCCGGGGCCAAGCTGTCACACAGAGGGCTGTGCCCAGGGATGTCTCTTCTGACAGCTGAGGCCATGGACCTTCCTCCCTCTGCCTCTTCAGCCCTGGCACGAGGCAGCTGGGGCTGGGGTACGTCCAGGGGCAGCAGCCCAGATAAGGAGGGAGGGCTTGGTGACACTGTTGTCATCTGTGGGGACCGATGGCTGTATTGGGAAGGTCTAGCTACAGAGACCCTCCCCTTGTCCTCACTCAGGTGCCCCAGCGGCCTCGGCTTCGGCCTCCTTCTGTGTCCCCAAGTCACTAATGTGGCAAGGACGGATTCCAGGGCCATAGTTATTGTGTGCCCCAACTTGCGGCTGATCTGGGGGAACTGGGATGATCAGAGAAAGTGACGTTCCTTCCTGGCGAGGGCTGAGTCAATTCCTCCACCTGCTGCCTGCCGAGTGCCCAGCCCTCCCCCTTCCTCAGCAGCTGTGTTGATGGAAACCGCCCTGCTCAGGCCTCAGGTGGGAGCCTGGGACCCCCAGCTCTGCCACCTGGCCACTTCTGCACCCCCTCCTTCCACTGCGCCTGCCAGCAGTGGATTTAAAGTCCCAACAGCAGTCTGGTTTTCTTACAATGATGAAATATTTCACACGTGTGCACAAGTACCTGCCGCGTAGATTTCACCCATGTTGACATCCTATATTCACTTTAGCTTTTTTGTTTTGTCAGGTATAAAACATGAGAGATGCAGCTGAAGCCCTGCCCCCTGTTCTGCTCCGCCCCAGTCAGGGCAAACACGCTGCCTCTGGCTGGTCAATTTGTAGGTTTCCCTTTGTCCTCTGGGAAGCCTCCCAGAATCCGATGGCGAAGGGAGGTCTGACTAGTCAGCTAGAGCTACTCAGAAACGAGGCATTTCCTCTTGGGAGCCTTTGCTCTGAGGTTTTGTGAGGACATTAAACAAAAAAAAAAAAATCAAACCCATTGCCGTCGAGTAGATTCTGACTCATAGCGACCCTACAGAACAGACTAGAACTGCCCCACAGGGTTTCCAAGGCTGTAATCTTTATGGAAGCATACTGCTACATCTTTCTCCCACAGAGCAGTTGGTGGGTTCTAACCACTGACCTTTCGGTTAGCAGCTGAACGCTTAACTACCATGTCACCAGGGCTCCTTGTGAGGATATTAGTCTCTACAAAACAAGTCCTTGGTACGCGGGGCAAAACGTTAAACATACAAATGGTGACAAGAGGGGGTTAAGAAGCATTGCAGGCTTATAGATGGTGTTGTGGATGGAACTGTGTCCCTAAAAAAGATATGTTGAAGTCCTGACCCCTGGTACCTGTGAACGCACGTGACCCTGCTTGGAAAGAGGGTCTCTGAAGATGTTATCAGATAACATGAGGGCATACTGGAGGAGAGTGGCTCCCAAGCCAACCTGCGTGGTGTCCTTATAAAAGAGGAGAAGAGACGCACAGGGCAGATGGCCACGTGACTATGGAGGCAGAGACTGGAGTGATCTACAAGCCAAGGAATGTCAAGAATCGCCAGCTGTCACCAGAAGACGTGGAACAGAGTCGCCCTCAGAAGGAATCAACATGGCCGACACCCTGATCACAGACTCCCAGACTCCAGAACTCTGACAGAATAAATTTCTGTTGTTTTCAGCCACCCAGTTTGTGGTCCTTTGTCATGGCAGCCCCAGGACACTAGGACAGCTGGTCAGGGTGCTGGTGGCGTCAGAGGACCATGATGTTTAGTTCACTCTCAAGAGGGCCCCTGTACCTGAAGACAACTCACTTTTATAGACAGAAAAACAAAGACCGAAAGTGCAAAGGCGGTGGACATAGCTGCAAGGGGAAGATGGAATGCAGGGGTGAGGTGTGAGCAGGGCTTTACTGGGACACCCTCGGGCCTGCAGCAGACTCAGCTCTCAGCCCCGCTCCAAACGCTCCCCACCGCCACCCCCCGCCCCGCGCCCGCCGTGTCCTTTGCTCATGGTAAGGAAGGTATCCCAAGGGACCACGGCATAGTCCAGGCTCTCTGGCCAGACATGACAAAACCCCTTCAGTGAGGGCAGAAGTGTGTGGCCTGAGGCCAGGCCCCACTCACCATCTTCTTCCTCCGGCCCTTCTTGGGGCAAGCCCCTCTCACCGTCTGGGTCCGGCCCCTCCTCCTGCAAGACAAGAAGAGGGGTCAGTGTCTGAGGCATGCGGAGGGTCAACGATGGTCAACGCTTGGATATCTTCAATAAGGCAAATGGACCGCTGGGGCCCACTCTCAGGAGAGGTGCACAGAGGAGCACGAGAAACAAGTGACCACCTCTGGGAGATGGGGAAGTGGTGGGCAGAATGGAGAGAAGACGGGGCTGTGAAAGGTCAGTCTGAGGTGACGCACAACACAAGCGCCGGTCCTTTGAGTGTGAGCGGCGGGTCAACCACCAAGGGAAAGTCTTCCATGTCACACAAAACCGCCTGGGCCAGATGACAAGGGTGAGACTTGGGGCCAAGAAACCACACTTCTGTGCACCTGTTTCTTTACCTGTACCAGGTGGGTGCTTGAGGAAGCACCTGGATGGAGCAGGGACTCCTGCCCCCGGCTGCCGAGAGTGGTACAAAGGGCACAAGAAGATGAGAGAGAAGCTGGCTGGGCACTGAGGGCCTAGACCAGGCTGGGCATCACAGAAAAGCTGTGTTCGGGGTAGCTGGTTCTATCTCTGCTTCCTCTACTGTCATTCTTGATTCCTCAACTATTCCAGTGGTCATTTTCCCAACACTGGAGCATCACCTCCTTCACCCGTTCTCCCCCATGCCTGGACGCCATAAACAGATGGCTGGAAGGAATGTTCTGGATGGCCTCAGCGGAAGGAAGGCGTGACTTCAACTTTCAAGAATGTCAGAGGGTGAAAGGGATGTGCTGGATCTTCTCCAGCTGCGTGGGGGCTGAAGGGCCCGGGTGATGCAGCCAAGGAATGGTGACTTAGAAGTCTAGTTGGCAGATATGAGAATCACTGCAGACTTAAGAGAAAACCAAAATGCCAAACCTGTTGTAGTTGAGTTGGTCAATCATGGCAACCCCTTGTGTTACAGAGTAGAACTGAGCTCCACAGGGTTTTCTTGGCTGTAATCTTTATGGAAGCAGATTGCCTGGCCTTTCTTCCGAGGCACCAGTGGGTGGATTTGAACCGCCAACCTTTTGATTAGCAGCCAAGTGCAAACTGTTTGCATCACCCAGGGACCTAGGCTTAAGAGAGGGGTGCACAAATATGGATGAGCTGTCAGTGAAGACGGCCCAGAAGACAGATTCACATCAAGGCCTTTGACTGGATGGTGCTGGCTACCATTACTGAACATTTTGATCAAAGACTCTATAGAAGAATCTTCGATCAAAAACGGGAAAATGAAGAATAGAATTTCAAATTCTCATGGATTGCAGACCTTCTGGAGCCAAGGGGGCTGGATGAACCCCTGAAACCAGTGCCCTGAGATAATCTTTAAATCTTAAACCAAAAGTATCCCCTGAAGTCTTCTTAAACCAAAACAATAGTTTAGCTTAACTGGTAAAGAATGTCTGCCTTGAGCATTGTGCTTTTTTAAGATCTATATACATGGGATCAAACTGACAATAGCAACTCGAAAGATTAGAAAGGAAACTTAGGGGGCAATGAGTTTATGTTAATGGGGGAGGAACAACTCAGAGAAGGAGGGTGAGAATGGTTGCACAACTAGAAGAATGTAACCAATGTCACTGAATTGTACATGTAGAAACTGCTGAACTGGTGTATGTTCTACTACGTATATGCTCAACAACCAAATTACAAAAGAAAAAAAATCAAGGCCTTTATAACTCCAATTCTGGGGCGGTCTAGCAGAGTTGGCAGGCCCAGGGGTGCCAAGGGCCGACAGTGTGCTGAGCTGGGAGGCAAAGTTTTTACAAGCCCAAGAGGGCGTCAGAAGTGGCAAACCCTGAAGGGCCTGGAGGGTCCTGTCTCCACTGCACAAAATGCTGTCTGGGGGGAGCTGGGCGGAGACAGGAGCTGGCTCTGTCCCCCTTAACAGTCTGCACAGAAAGTCAACACTGGAAACCTGAGCCTTGCTTTCTGGGTACAGCTCAGTCTGTGGGCCTCGGTGTCCAGGGGCCGCCCTAATTTTGCACAGCAAAGCGTCTTGGTGGCTGAGGTGGGTGGGTAGCTTTTTCAGGGGGCAGGAAAAGGAGACACCCCTTTGACTCGGCAAACTCACTTCTAAGAATCTGCCCTCGACAGGGAAAATTGTTTATGGGGGTTTTTGTGCTATGACATCGCTTGTGTGCAGTAGCAAACCACAGAAAACTGGAAACAACCTAAGTGTTTATCTGTAGGGCAAATCGACTACAGTTGCATATGTTTAGTTAATATATTAACCAAAGTATTAACTGGCTAGATTTCTTCTAGTGCAGGTACTGCATGCCCCTCTGGAGGAGGCCTTGAAAAATAAAATGTAGTATTTACTACAATGGAATATGAATTACTCAGCCACAAAGAACAATGAAGTCCTGATACGTGAACCTATTTTTTCCCCTTTATTTTCTTCTATATTTAAACAAAAGAGAAAAGAATTTTTTACATTTTTATCTTCATAAAATCATCTATTTTATCCAGATTTTAAAATGTATTAGTATGAGTTGAAGTTCAAATTTTGATGGAGAGTCCTAGAATTTGTATCAGAAATAAAACTATTTTTAGCTCTAAAAAAATAATAAATAAATAAAATTTGAAAAAAGTGAAAAGAAAAAGAAAGAACAACAGACAGTCATTAACCCATTCAGGGCTGCATCCCAGAAACAAGCCCACTACCATGAATGAGGAAGAATTCCTGGGGGGGTGCAAAAGGTTAAACGCTGGGCTACTAACCAAAAGGTTGGTGGCTCAAACCCACCCAGAGGCACCTTGGAAGAAAGCCTGGGAGTCTACTTTGGAAAGGTCACAGCCATAAAAACCCTATGGAGCAGTTCTGCTCTGAAACACACGGGGTCGCCATGAGTCAGAATCGACCGATGGCAACTGGTTTGGTTTTTTTGGTTCTTCATGAATGGGGAGAAGACAAATTCTTCTATTGTGTCCTAGGGACACAGTGATTAGAAACAAGAAAACCCTAAGTCCTCAAAGAACCCATGGTCCAATAGGAAAGACATCTAAAGAAATGGTTGCAACCAGGGTGAGAAATTCAAGAGCCCGGGCCGACTCTGATATCCCAAAGGGACATGGCATCGGGTGACCTGCCTCGTCCTCCTGGGGAGAGGCTTGCATACACGTAGCTGCTGCACACTTGACCCCGGAAGTGTGGCATTTCTCAAACTGTCGTCGTGATCCCATTGGTGAGTCAAGAAGTCAATTCAGAGATTGCTGCCAGTATTTTAAAAAATGTGTAGCCAAGGTCCTAGCGGGACTTTTTGTTTGAATAACATCAGAAGTATAAACGCAATTCTTGAAAGGTTAGTTATTTATATTAACCAAGTGTTGATGGTTCTTATGTGGTTACTAGGGGCTGGGGGGAGGAGAATGGGGATTTGTTGCTTACTAAGTACTGAGCTTCTGTTTGGGGTGATGGAAAAGTTTTGGAAATTGATAGTGGTGATGGTTGTACAACATGGTGAATGCAATTAACACCAAAGAGCTATACACTGAAAAATGGTTCAGGTGGCAAAAAAAGTTTTTGACCTGGACATGAAGAAATTGAGATGATGTATGTTTTGTATATTTTCACAAAGCACACACACACAAATCAGGTTAGCAAGTTAGTCATAATAAAATATCTATGAGTTTCTTTAAGTCATACAGATTTTGGGACTATTCAGTAGTGACAATCATCACAGTTTCAGCAGGAATACAATAGAATTTATATTCTCGAAAATTGTGTGATAACCTCAATTGTGAATATTGGCTCTCTCCGTTCTACCAATTCACTGTTTCTCATCTCCAAATTACAACGCATAATTTAAAGTGGTAAATTTTATGTTATGTATGTTTTAGCACAATAAAAAAAATTTTTTTTAAATGTGTAGATGACAGAAAAACAAAAGTGCTGATGGTAATAACGTGCAGGCAGATTCAGAGACAGTGCAATCTAGTCGGGAGAGAAGCCGTCCTGGAAGTGGGGGTCTCTGGCCGCAGTCCAGTGCTCTCTGCTCCCAGTCGGGCAGCTGCGTGTGCGATTGGGAAGGGGCAGGAGTGAAGTGGAACCATGTAGAAAATGCTGGGATTACACTGTCTAAGGTTATCTCTGAGGAGAGCCGGGATGAAGGATCTCATGCTCTTATCTTGGCGAGGGGCAAGCTAAGAGGCAGGAAGAAGGGAGAGCAGCCGGTTAAAAGCTTAGGTGAGGGACGATGACTGAGCTGGGAGGCGGAGGAGCCTGGCCTTCAGCTTGGTGTTTGTCCAAAGGATCTACGCAGGACTGGCAGCAGCTGGCCAAGGGTAATTCCTCAGGGGTCTGGGTCTGAGCCCCTCCCACAATCTTGCCCCTCATGGGTGGTCAGCCATGCAGAGCTCAGCCAGGAGTGGAGAGCCCCCACCTTGAGGTGGTTCATGTGGGGTCCTGGGGCACTGGGACAGGCGCTGCTCAGGGCCAGTGTCCTGTCCTGAGAGTGCTGGCGGCACCCACACTCCTGATGGAGGTAAACAATGTTATGAACACCATGAACCGTGATGCCCTGAGGCAGCTGGCCTTGTCCAGCTGGTCCCCTGGAGCAGGCCAGGCCAGGCCAGGCCACCAGGCCGCCACCTCACAGGCCAGGGCTCCACGCTTTATTACTGAATAGAGAGGAGCTTCACCTCCACCGATCTGGGGTGACTTTCTAATTCAGCCTCTCCCTCCAGGGGAGGCGGGAGACAGGAGAGGTACAGCAGAGGGAGTGTCTCCAACAACCCCTCCAAGTCCAAGGCCAGGGCCCCCAGGGGAGGGGAGGGGAGGGCAGCAGGGAGTATGGGCAGGCAGCTGCAGGCCCAGGAGGGACGTCATGTAACAAGGGGCCAAGAGGCTTCTGGGAGCCTGAGGGGTGGCCTCACCCCCACGGGCAGCACACTGCCATTTATGGCTGCCTCAGGCCCCAGGCTGATGCAGAGCACTGGAGTGGGGGCGGGGCAAGGAGATGGACAGACAGACAAAGAGAGAAGCAGAGAGACAGAGACAGAGAGGA